CCCTCCCCACCTGAACCATCTCCTCAAACCCAGACGCTCATTCCTTGTGGAGGGAGGGACAGGGAAGAGGAGCCAAGTCTCTTTCTTTCTCAAAATGTAAATATCGCCCCAGCCCGGCCAGTGTGGCTCAGTGGGTGAGCCTCGCCCTATGAACCATGAGGCTGTGGTTCCCGGTCAGGGCACAGGCCCGGGTTGCGGGCTCGATCCCCAGTGGGGGGCGTGCAGGAGGCACCTGATCAACGGTTCTCTCCCATCATGTTTCTCTCCCTCTCCCTCTCCCTTCCTCTCTGAAATCACTAATCACTAAAAATATATATATTTATAAATGTCACCCCCCACCCAGGGGCTGATGCCTCCCTCCACGCCCGGGACTATGAGGGGAAGGGAGAGGGGGAAGAATGAATGCCCACGTGCCACAAAGCCCCCCAACATGAGTGGCCCTGGGTGGGGGTGGGGGTGGGGGCCCAGGCTCCCCTGACCAGCACCCTACTGTCCCCGCACCCGCCCCGAGGTCAGGAAGAGCGAATGAGGCCCAGGCACAAGCCCCCGCGCGGGGGACCGACTGCCCCGCGACGGTCAGGCACTCACCACGATGTTGGCCGCGATGACCTCGGGATCCACACAGATGGACTCAACGAAGAAGGTCTGCAGCCGGGACCAGGGCCGAGGGAGGAGGGGGGACCCCGGGTCAACAGGGCGGGGCTGGCCCCACAGAGCGCCCTCCCCGCCCAGGCCCTCCTTCTGGGGCCGCCCTGTCCGAAGCCCCGGCCCATCAGGAGGCCGGGAAAGGGGCCCGGAGGCCCAGTAAGGACGTGAGCCCCCAGGTCTCACCTTGTAGCCGTTCTGCTCCCCAAAATTAAAGATGGTCGCCCTCCGCTCTCGGGTGGTGTTTGTTGCATCGAAAACCTAGGACCAAACGGGGTTAACGCGCCTCTGGCCCCGGAGACGTGGAGGCTGCTGGACATCCCACCCGGACACTGCTGCCCGGCCAGTCTCCTCGCACCCGCACCCGGGAGGGGCAGGAGGGGCGCTCTGCTCCCAGGGCCGCCAACCCTCCCGGACGCCGCTGCTGCCCGGCCAGTCTCCTCGCACCCGCACCCGGGAGCTGGCAGGAGGGGCGCTCTGCTCCCGCAGGGCAGGGCCGCCAACCCTCCGGGGGACGCTCTCAGCAGCTGCTCTGCAAACGCGGTGCTGAGCTCACGCTGACCCACAGGACGTCCCGTGAAACTGGTTAAACCTGGAGAACTGAACCCATGAACCCATGCTGACCTCCAACCCTACCCCGAGACCCCAGTAAAGGGGAGAGGGAGGGCAGGGGAGGGGACACGATCCCCCCGGCCTGTGTGTCTGTGTGGGGGGGCCTAGGGCCTTGGACAAGCACTCAGAGGCAAAGGCAGCCACAGCCCAGCCCCTCCCAGCCCCGGGCGCCCCCCTGCCCAGCGGCTGCACGTTCTCCAGGGGCTGCCCCCGGCGCGTGGCCACGCACCCGGCCTTCCCTCTAGAGATCCCATGAGCAACAGGGATGGATGCGTGTGGGCTCCCACATGTCCCCCCAGATGTCCCCGGGGTGTCACACTCACCGCCACGTGTCCCCCCTCCTCACTAAGGAACTGCCGGACGTCACGGAGAGCGGCCAGGGCACACTGCCTTCCGGGAGGAGACACAGGGTCAGCCAGCGCCCCCTTGGCCGCAGGAGGGTCAGTGGGGGGCGGGCTGGAGACGGACCTGAGCGCTAGGAAAGCCCCTGAGGCACAGAGCTGGGGAGCCTCCAGGTTGGTGAGGGCGTGGGGTGCCGCCCCGAGGGCTGGGAGCTCCACCCTGCCCTGCCCTGCCCTGCCCTGCCCTGCGGGGCACCTCTTCCCTTTGGCTGTTGTATCCCTTCCTCCCTCCCTTCCTTCCTTCCTTTCTTTTTTAAAATATTTTTATTGATTTCAGAGAGGAAGGGAGAGGAAGAGAGAGAAACATCAAGGATGAGAGAGAATCATGGATCAGCTGCCTCCTGCACGCCCCCTGCTGGGGATTGATCGCACAACCCAGGCCTGTGCCCTTGACTGGAATCGAACCCGGGACCCTTCAGTCCACAGGCGCCCAACCGGCCAGGGCTGGCTGCTGTACCCTTTACCGTGAACCCGTAAACGCAGTGAGGTGTGGTCGGGAGCGCGGGAGCGCGTCCAGCCAGTCCTGGACCTGGAGAGGCTGAGGAACCCGGCGCAGGGCCCGGAGGAGCGGGGGCGCCCGGGGCTCTGGCTGCTGTTTGCAGAGGGGGCCGGGGACTGAGCCCTCAGCCTTGGGAGCTGACCTGACTCGGGGAGGGTCAGGCCCGAGTGAACTGAACTGTGGGACATCATGGCGTCTGAGCAAACACCGTGTCCCCAGCCCTGTGTGTGGTGACTGGGTCGCACCCGTGTACAGGGGGTACGTGTGCGCACCCACACACGCGAGTGTAGGTTTCAGTATGTGTGTGTAATACAGGACATGCGTGTGTAAACGCCGTCCGAGTACACAGGCCCAGGGTGACCAGCCCCGGTGAACCCTGGCCCGTGTCCGTGACCAGCTCCTGCTGGAGAAATCCGTGTGTCCGGCCGGAACCCGGGGCAGAGGACGCCGGAAGCCTGGTTTCCTCTGGACTTGAACCCTTTGCCGGGGCTGCTTTGCACCATTTGCTGTGAGAAACCTCAGCCAGGAGGGCCGCAGGCTGAGGTCCCAGCCAATCACTGACCCTGAACCTGGGGGCCCTGGGGACCCCAGACCGTCTGAGTGCCTGAGTGTGAGTACGTCTCCACGGTGACCCCGAGCGTGCCTCTGTGTGTGCGTGCGGTACGCAGGTATGTGCGTGCGTGTCCTTGTGTGCTGTGTGGCTGACGGCACACGTATGAGTGAGGTGTCCACATGTGTGCTTACTCACGTGGACAGTGCAACTGTGTACACATGGACACGTGTGTGTGTGTGTGTGTGTGTGTGTGTGTGTGTGGACCCATGTGTGCCCATGGGGTGTGTCAATAACTTGGTATCTTGTGTGAGCCGTCTGAGCCTGTTCCCCCCTGTACAGTGGGGGGAGGGTGACAATGGGCCTCACACGCCCAGCGCACAGTAGGAGCTCAAATCTCAGCCCCTCCCTTCTGTCTGGGTCGATAGCACCAGAGCCCAAACTGAGTGTCACCCACAATTCGGCCACAGAGGCCTGAATGTCAGCCCTTCCTGGTGCAGCAGCCTGGCCCCGCCCACTTCCCCAAGAGCGGAGGCCACAGTGGGGAGCCCTGGCCGCCCAGTGTCCACACCCAGCTGGCGTCTGACCCGGTGACCGGGCTGTGCTGGGCTTGGGGAGGTTAGCGGGGCTCGGCCACCCTCTGCCCAGCGCCCTGCTCCAAGGCTGGGCCAAGACCCAGGGCGAGGAAGCTGCTCGCGCCTCAGCTGACGCCTGCCCAGAGAGCAGCGGCTCCTCACACCACCAGCCGGTGTCGGTGCCCCGAGCGCGCGAGTCTCCGGAGGAAGGACTCAGGTCGGGGGGTGGATGCAGGCCTCCTGTGTAGATGCCCATCGCAAGAGCAACAGCAGGAGGGTGGACGTCACCCAGCCCTTCACAGCTGAGCCAGGGTCTCGGGCACCCGCCAGGCACCAGCTGACCCCCCTCCAGAGGTCCCGGAGGGCTTGTCCTGGGGCCAGGGAGGGAAGGCCCAGCTCTGGGCCCAGTCCGGTCCTTCCGGCTTTGCGAGCTGGCCCCCCTGCCCCCCGAGGCCTGTCCCTGCACCCACTCGGCTTCCTCCCTCCCAGAGGCTGTCCCCATGGAGGGCGCCTTGACCTGTCCTGGCTAAGCCTCGGCCGCCTCCCTGAGGCCCTGTCCTCCCCTCTCCGCCCCAGGATGTCCTCATCACCACCAGGCCAGCACCAAGACACCACACCCTCTCCCCTGCCCCCTCACACCCAACCACCAGCCCTGAGGCCGACGGACCAGCCCGGGCACAGCCCACGGGCAGGCGAGGCCAGGGCTCAGGAGCAGCTCTGTCCTGACCAGCAACCGGGCTCCACAAGCTCCTGGCCCTTTGTACACGTGTGCACACGTGCACATGCATGTGCGTGCGCAGACGCACACAAACACACACGCACGCACATGTGCACACACACGCACATGCACACACTCACTCACTTTCGGATCCTCAGGCCCTCTTCGTTGTCTGGAAGGAAAAACTCAAAAGACTTGTACGTCTTGACCATTTCCCGGCGATACTGACCCACGTTGAACTCTGCAGGAGAGAAGGAAGGCTCGGCTCCCCCACAAAGCAGCCCTCCCACTCCGACCTCGGCCCACCCGGCCCTGCCCCACGGCAGTCCAGCCCCCTCTCCTCCCCCCCCCCGTCCCCACTCGGCCCCAGGCCCCCTGGAGAGCCAGCCCGGCCTCACCCCGCGTGGGCACGCCGATCCAGTTCAGGTAGCGCGTCAGCTTCTTGGAGATGTAGGTCTTGCCCCGAGCGGGCAGGCCCACCATGACGATGAGCGTGGGGCAGTTGGTCATGCACACTGGGGGGCGAGGGGGGGTCAGACGGCCTCGGCCTCGGGCACAGGGTGGCACCACCCCCACGGGCCCACCGCCGGATGCCTGCCCCGGGGTCCTGCACCATCGCCCACACGTGCCTCTGTGCCATGCGGGTTGTCTTGAGCTAAAGGCAACTTTAGCCACAGACCCAAGAACCTTCTGCCCAGCCCGGAGCTACAGAGAGGAAACTGACTTCCAGGCCTTGCCCACGGCTGCTACCAGAGGTCACCTCTTTGACCTCCATGGGGCGGGCACACCCTGCGGACAAAGGGGGGCTCTTCTCCTCCCGCAACCACCTCTGACGCTCCGAGGGGCAGGACCGAGCCGGCTCAGGGCGTCTCATTCCCTCAACCCCTCCCGGGCTCTGAACCGCTCCCACACGGGGCTCCCGTACGCGTGTAGATATGTATGCCAAATTCTTCCCGGAAATCAATGAAAACCTATTTAATAAAAACACAAACGACAGGAACCAGGCCTCCCTGCCCCCTGCCCGCCAGGCGGGGCTGGCCCTGGGCCTCGGCGCTGCAGCCTGCGGGGGGCCTGCCAGGTCAGGTGAAGGCAGCTGCAGCCACGCGGCTAAGAAGGCCCGCAGGTCCCCGCACCGGGCCAGCCGTGGAGGCTCTGCTGCAAGTTTCCTCATCTTGCTCACTGTCCGGGGATGCCCTCCTGCCCTCCCCTGGGGCTCCCTGTTTGTCACATTGGCCTGGCACTTGGGGCCCCTCTGGCCATCTGTTGGCCGCAGGGCCTGCCTGGGACAGAGGTGCCTCGGCACCCCGACTCCCAAGGGCCTCGGTGCTGAGGGGCAGCTGTGTCCTCAGCCTGGCGCTGCCAGGGCCGTGCAGGGGCACCGCTTAATTTGGTTATTTTCTCTTGCTGATCTGTCTCGTGTCTGTGTGATTATTACACCGGCCGGATGGACCTTAGGGCAGAGGAAAGTTGGCTCCGCCCCTCCACCCCGGCCCCCAGGCCTGCCTGGGCCCCAGCAGATGCGGGGACCTTGCCAGCCTGACCTGCTGGGCATCACCAGATATAAACCCGAACCTGCCACACCCCGGCTGCCACGGATGGGCGTTCCCATGACCAGCAGGGCAGCCAGGACCCCGCGGGAGGCAGCGCCCCGGCTGCCACCCAGGGGCCAGGGGCCGCTCCGCATTCCTCCTCGCTCAGACCCTGCTCACCTCCCCAGGTTCATGTCTCTTCATCGCACAAAGCCCAGCTCCCAGATGCTTCTTCTCCTAGACCAGTGGTTCTCAACCCTCTGGCCCTTTAAATACAGCTCCTCATGTTGTGACCCAACCATAACATTATTTTCGTTGCTACTTCATAACTGTAATGTTGCTACTGTTATGAATCATCATGTAAATATGTGATATGCAGGATGGTCTTAGGCGACCCCTGTGAAAGGGTCGTTCGACTGCCAAAGGGGTCGCAAACCACAGGTTGAGAACCGCTGCCCTAGACCTTCCTCAGGCTCCTCTCCCTCCATCCCGCCACCTCACCAAGGAGCCGGGAGCAGAGCAGGCGAGCGCCAGAGCCAGCGGGCGCCTGGGCCTGGCACGGATGGGTGCTCACGGGTGATGGGCAGGAAGGAGGGAAGCATCTCAAACCCAACAGGGTGAGGCTGCCAGAGGCCGAGACCAGAGACCCAGGCGACGTCCGCAGGGTGGACCTGTGACAGCCCTCGCCCGCCGTCCCGTCTGCCACCAGTCAGGGCCCATCAGGAAGCTGCGGGGGCTGGAGGGGAAGGGTCAGGACACAGCCCCCTCCCTGGCCCCTGGACAGACCCCGAACCATAGAACGCCGGCCTCACAGCTTTCAGCTGGTCTCACCCCAGAAGCCTCAGGGCCCAGGCCCTGGGCGAGGGTGCAGCCGCAGCGGACGGACAGCTGGCCCGGTGCGGGGACCTGCGGGCCCTTCTTAGCCGCGTGGCTGCAGCTGCCTTCACCTGACCCTGCAGGGCCCCTGCAGGCTGCAGCGCCGAGGCCCAGGGCCAGCCCTGCCGGGGGGCAGGGGACAGGGAGGCCTGGTTCCTGTCGTTTATGTTTTTATTAAATAGATTTTCATTGATTTCCGAGAAGAAGGAGAGAGTGAGAGAGAGAAACATCGATATGAGAGAGAATCATGGATCGGCTGCTCCCTGCACACCCCACACTGGGGATGGAGCCCGCAATCCAGGCCTGTGCCCTGACCAGGAATCAAACGGTGACCTCCTGGCTCATAGGTCGACGCTCAACCCCCAAGCCCTGCCGGCCGGGCCGGGCCGAGTGCTGACCGCCCTCCCTGTAGGTCCAGCACTATCTCCCGGTGAGAGCACCTCGGGGAAGCGGTGCCCCTGCACGGCCCTGGCAGCGCCAGGCTGAGGACACAGCTGCCCCTCAGCACCGAGGCCCTTGGGAGTCCAGGTGCCGAGGCACCTCTGTCCCAGGCGGGCCCTGCGGACAACAGATGGCCAGAGGGGCCCCAAGTCCCAGGCCAATGTGACAAACAGGGAGCCCCAGGGGAGGGCATCCCCCGGACAGTGAGCAAGATGAGGAAACTTGCAGAAGAGCCTCCGCTGGCCAAGGGGGGAGAAAAACAAGTTAGGCAAGGCCCTGTGTCCCGAGGGCCACCGCGAGGGCCCGCTGTTTGCACAACTCCTGGCCGGCTGGCGGCTCTCGAGCAACCGCAGGGCAGGGCATCGCTACTGCTGGTGGGGAGGGGGAGACCTGCTCCCTTCGAGGAGCCCCCCCCCCACCGCGCTGTCCCTGGAGGGTCCTCCCGCAGCCTCAGGACTAGGATCCTGCATGCCCCCTGCACGTCCATCTCCCCCGAGGTGCCCTGGCCGCCCCCCTGGTGTTCGCGGCAGCCCCCGCCCCTGCACGGCCCGGTGGGCGGAAGGGCAGCGAGTCCAGGCTGGGCGAAAGCCAGAGTAATACGTTACCTATCACCTTGGCTCCTCAAGATAAGCTTCCAAGGAAATGACCCCAAAGAAAAACCAAAGTACAAGTGTCTTCACAACAGCTCTGCTCCCAGCAGCCAAACACGGGAACGCCGGACGGCCGCGGGCACAGCGCGGACCGGGGAGCGGGGCGGGGCACAGCGCGGACCGGGGAGCGGGGCGAGAGCTCCGGGCCTCAAGGACCCGCTGTTCAGGACACCGGTGTGTGCGGAAGGAAGTCTGAAGACATGCCACTCAGCGTCCTTTTCCTGCGCAATTGCTCAAGGCCACGGTTTCCTGCGCAATTGCTCAAGGACAAGGAGGCCTGGCCCTGGCCGGTGTGGCTCAGTGCATAGAGCATCGGCCTGGGGGCTGACGAGTCCCGGATTCGGTTCCGGTCAAGGGCATGTACCTCAGTTGCAGGCTCCTCCCTGGTCGGGGCTCATGCAAGAGGCAACCCATCAATGTGTTTCTCTCCCATGGATGTTTCTCTCTGTCTTTCCCTCTCTCTTCCACTCTCTGAAAATCAATGGAAAATATCCTCGGGTGAGGAAAGAATGAATGAATATTGGGACAAAGATAATGATAAAGTCCATCATTAAAAAAAAAAAAAAAAAAAGGCCCGGGGAGGCCGAGCAGGCGAGAGGCCTGAGACAAGCCTGGTGCTGGGCAGTGGCCACTTCCTGCAGGGGCCAGCCCGGGGGCAGCCACGAGTCCCCGACGTGAGTCCAGACGGGTTCCTGAGCTGCACCTGCTCGACGCCCCTGGGCGGGCGGGGACGGAGCAGCTCCTGAAAGCTAAGCGCTGGGTCTGTCCTGTTCAGAGGGGACAGATGGCCAACTCTCCTACCCGCCCGGCCACACCCCGCCACGTGCAGACCCAGCACGTCTTCCACCTTCTGCCTAAGAAAAGCCATCAGACAAGCACTGTCCTTTCTGCCCTGCTCCCTGAGTTCCCCCCCCCTTTTTTTAAAAATTATATATTTTTTATTTCAGAGAGGAAGGGAGAGGGAGAGGGAGAGATAGAAATGTCAATGATGAGAGAGAATCACTGATTGGCTGCCTCCATTGGGGATCGAGCCTGCAACCCGGGAATGTGCCCTTGACCGGAATCGAACCCGGGACCCTTCAGTCCACAGGCCGACGCTCTATCCACTGAGCCAAACCGGCCAGGGCCTGAGTCCCCTCTTCATCTCTGCCTCGCCCACCCCCAAAACTCCCCCAGGTCTGAGCTAAGGGGTCAGTGACCAGGGAGGTAACGGCACAGGGACACCCCGCAGACAAGCGGCCTCGGGTGCCCAGAGAGCTGGGAGACCACGGCTACGGCAGACCAGCCGGGAGCCCCGCGCCCTCATCTCCACAAACCCCTGTGCCTGATCGAGTCAACGTCCACCCACCGCCACCCTCAGGCCCTCCCCCGTCCCCGGGGCCCCCAGCCTCGCCATGATCCGTTCTGCAAGGGTGAAATGCCGCACGTACAGGTTCCCGGTTCACTCCCTGCTGAGTCACTCCCTGCTGTGAACTCCGGGACCCTAACCAGGCCCAATCCCGCACCACCTGCAGGGGTCATCTTGGCCTCGGGAGTGCCACTGCCGCCTCCTGTGCTGGGCCAGCCCACGGTCCACCCCGCGTGCGCCCAGGGGCAGTGTGATGCCATGAGCCCCTCTCTCAGGCCAGAGCCAGGTATTTTGTTCGTTTGTTTTAATATTTTAATTGATTTCAGGCAGGAAGGGAGAGGGAGCGAGAGAAACATCAATGATGAGAATCATGGATCGGCTGCCTCCTGCACGCCCCACACTGGGGATCGAGCCCACAACCAGGAATGTGCCCCGACCGGGAATCAAACCATGACCTGGTTCATAGGTCGACGCTCAACCACTGAGCCACGCCGCCCGGGCCAGAGCCAGGTTTTAATCACAGACTTGGAGCCTGGAGAAATATAGACCCACCCAAGTGGCCGAAAGACCTGGGCCAGTCCCCTCCCTCGAGGCCACAGGTCCCTTCCCATCTGTGCTGGGGGTTCTCTCAGAACTGCTGCTTCCATCCCTGATGTGGGAGCGACAAGCGGTGAGATGACGAGATGGCCAGCGACCCCTTCTTGAGGCCTCCTCATTCCGCAGCTCACAGCAGCTCCGTGGAGCAGGCTGGTGACAGGCTCGGACCCGGGCCTGGAGGAGTCTCCCTGCCCGAGGCCACACAGCTGGGCCCTGATGCAGCCGAGCCTTCCTGCCTCCAAAGTCCAGGCTCTTACTCCTCCCCTGGAGTGAAACAGCCCTCACACAGACCGGCCAGGAGCAGGGGCCTCGGCCTCCGCACCTCCACTCAGTGCGGGAGCGGCGTGGGCGTGACCGGAGCCCCTGAGGACACAGAGCCGTGGATGGAAGCCCTGGCCCAGGACTGAGGCAGGATCACTGGCTCCGTGCCCCACCAGGGCCTCGGTCAGGGCCAAAGCCACGGCCGCCCCCTGCCAGGACCCACAGTGTGGTAAGAGACACTCCCCCAGTTCTCACACCATGTCAGAGCCCAGGCCCAGCACAGCCCTCTCTCCCTCCCAGATCACGGCCAAGCAGAGGTCGGGGGGCAGGGAGACCCCCGCACACCACCCAGCCTCCTGATGGCCATGTCCATTTCTGTGCCAGGAGTTGGACTGGATGTTCTCTGAGGTCCTTGTCAACGTGCAACTTCCCCACAACGTTTCCGTTACTCCTAAAACAGATCTTTTTCTTTGTAATAAAGAGGCTGCAGCTCATTTAAGGACCAGCGGGAAGTCAAGGTAGGAAATTAAACAGCCAAGACCCGGAAAGGTGAGCTGAGCAATGTCAGGCATCGCAGCGTGTCTCCCAGATGTTTCCCCTTAAGTTTACCTTCTATTCTACCCACGACACAAACACAGGCCCGCATGGCACGGTGCCCCACGGCCCCTATTCTGGTCAAACCCGCACCTCCGGGGAATTCCCCCCAAAACTTGGCTTTAGGTGACCAGGTGGGTGATTAGCCCGGGGCGCCCCGCCCTTCCTCCCACCGGAGGGCCAGCTCGCTCTCGGGCCTTTGAAAGCGCTGGGCTCAGAGAGGCCAAGCAGTCCCTCTAGGGCCAGCCCAGCTCGGGCGCGGCCGGCCACCGGCCCACGCTCTCTGGCCAGCAGAGAGGACAGGGCAGGGGCTCCAGGTCCGCCCTGGCCTGAGCGGTGGGGGGACAGGAGTGCGCGGGGCCGGGGCCGGACCTGGCCCCCAGGAGCCGAGACTTCCCCGCAGACCGGCCTCCGCCTCCAGCTCTGCCACCGCTGTCCTCGCCCACCACCCGCTCTGCTCCCCTCCCACCAGCCCGGCAGCCTCGGCCTCACCTGTCCCGGTTCCCCGCGGTTCCCCGCCCCTCGCCGCCGCGACAGACCACTGCCCAGGCCGCCCCATCCATCACCCGCGCACCGTCCCCCGCGCTCCCCGCGGACCCCGCCTCACCGCGGCGCTGGCAGGCGTGCAGGGCGGGCCGCCCGTTGCTGTACGGCATCCAGATCTTCTTCAGGGGGTTCTGCGTCAGCTCCCGCGGGGAGGCCATCCCGGAGCCGCGAGCAGTCCGACCGCACGGCTCCCACCCGGCAGCCCCGCCAGCTCCGGCCACGGAGGCCCCGCCCCTCGGCCCGCCCCTCTTCAAGCTGCCGTGACGCACGTCCCACTCCCGAGGCCCCGCCCAGGACGCATAGGCCCCGCCCCAACTGGAGAGGGCGTGGCCCCGGACCACGCATGCGCAAATCGCCCGCCTGCGGGTTCGGCCGCCGCAGGCCCGCCCTCCCTGCCGGGATCCCGGGCGCGCATGCCCAGCGCACTCAGGCCCGCGTCCCGGCTGGTCCTGGCCCCACTTCGGGTGCAGGAGCCCAGCACGCCCGCCCCGGCCGCGCAGATTTGTACGGGTCTCTCCCAGGGCCTCGCTCCGGGCAATCGCCGCCTCGCCCCCAGGGCACCCGGGTCCGCTCCTCACCACGCGGGACCTCAGGGTTCCAGGAGGGCGGGGTTTCCACGCCAGGGGGCGGGGCCTACGAGACCCGCGGGGCTTGATTGGTCAGGACCAGGCCTCGGCGCGACTGATCACTGGCCTGAGGTCTGGGCTGTCAACCCCGCTGCGCCCTGCACCCCGCCCACGGGAGCGACCTGCCGCTCTCAAGGGGCTGGAAAGGCCTTGCTCTCGGGACAGGGCGCACGTCAGAGCTGATGGTGTTTCTCTCTCCGCCTTGGCCGCTGGGCAGCTCGGGCTACACAGGGCCCGCCTGGAGCAAGTGCGTGGGAGCTGGCAACCAAGCTCTCAGGGCACTCGCTGGAGGTGGCACGTGCCCGTCATCCATCTTACAAGGGTCTGGCCCCCGTGGCTCCGTGGCTGAGCGTCGACCCAGGAACCAGGAGGTCACGGTTCGATTCCCGGTCAGGGCACAGGCCCGGGTTGCGGGCTTGATCCCCAGTGTGGGGCGTGCAGGGGGCAGCCGATCCATGATTCTCTCTTATCGTTGATGTTTCTATCACTTCCTCTCCCTTCCTCTCTGACATCAATAATATATATATATTTACAAGATTCTGGTATAGGTGAAATGTGTCCATGTCTGAAAAATCCACTCTCAAGCACATTCATGTTACCATTTATTATATGATTTGTCTACTGCAGTGGTTCTCAACCTTCTGGCCCTTTAAACACAGTTCCTCATGTTGTGACCCAACCATAAAATTATTTTCGTTGCTACTTCATAACTGTAATTTGGCTACTGTTATGAATCATCATGTAAATATCTGATATGCAGGATGGTCTTAGGCGACCCCTGAGAAAGGGTCGTTCGACCGCCAAAGGGGTCGCGACCCACAGGTTGAGAACCGCTGGTCTATTGCCTCTCAATCGCAGTGAGGCCAGGGGCGCGGCGGAAGACGAAGTCAGAACCCTGCCACTCCCTGTCTGCAGCTTTGACTCTTTCTGCCTGGGCCCGGGAGCCC